TAGTAGTAGTGTAGTCGTTAGTAGTGTAGTGTGTGTCGTGTGTGTCGTGTAGTGTGTGTGTGTGTGTGTGTGTGTGTGTGTGTGTGTGTGTGTGTGTGTGTGTGTGTGGCTTTAGTATAAAATGAGGAAAACATATGTAAAATATGTTGTTGTTGCAGCAAGATTTAGCAAAACACTGGAATACAAGAAATACAATTTACATAGGAAACATATTTAATAATCTATACACAGTATAGTGAAATGTTGTAAAGTAACAATTGTTCACAAAAAAGACTACAGTATGTGATAATCGCCTTTTTTTCGAAGGTGTTGTTTACTGTATCTGTATTGCTTATTTTAAAAAATGAATTCAAATGTGAATACTCGTTTCCCCACTTTAGTACTTAAAGGGGACCTATCATGCAAAATGCACTTTTGTGCGTGTTTTATAGATGAATATGTGTTTCCGGTGTTCCCGGGAACTCACCAAGTGTCAGAAAATACAACCCTCTCTCTTTTCCTCCATACCCAAATCTCTAAAAACGGGGCTGCAACGTATTTGATACATGTGGATTCTGATTTGCACCTCTATGATGTCACAGAGGTGCACTCCGCCTGTATGGTCAACTCTCCACCTATCAGGGGAATGAGAGGTTGCCGTGGCATGGCAACAGCATAGCAACAGCATGGCAACAGCATGGCAACAGCATAGTAACATGACGCTTGTACCTCGCCCCCTCCTTTGCAGGGGGGGGGTCAGCTCCAGCTCATGCAAAGACAGAGCTGGAGTGAGGCAAAATGAAGCATGGCTAAAATGCATGATCTGTTTGGTATTTTGAAAAATAAAACTTATAAATATACCTTATATAGGTATGGCCCTACAATATATTATTCAAATATAGCATGATAGGTCCCTTTTAAGTGTTTTTTTTATCAGATTGCTTACTTTAATACACTGCAAATGTGTTTTCCACTTAACAGTCACATGCCTTTGAATATTATGTTTGGATTTTATTCTACAATCCAGTTGATCTCCATTAATGTGTGTCTCAGTGGCTCAAGTGCAACGCATAGGCTGATAATTGACAAGATTAGCAGATGAATACACTGAGGAAATAAAAGTTATGTGTTAAATATGTCCGTTAAAGTATACCAAATGATGTTGGTCAGGCTTTATATTTAGTGCACATATTTAATTGAAGCTTGATTGATTTCAAGCATGTATAGGCCAATCCAGATTGCAAATGGTTGCATAGGCTATAGGAAGAGAGAGCAATAGCATTCTCGTTATACATGTGTTTTTAATGTGCACACACTTTCTATTTATATATTATTCACAATTCAAATAAGTGTATCCTAGGATATTGTCTTTAATTATATATTGAGCAACATAAATAAACAAGCTCCATGCCCATGCTTGTTGCTTGGTGTGTTTCACTAATCATGTCCCATAAGAATTATAATAAATTAATATGCACCTATTCTGCTTCAGTGTTTCAAATATAGGGTGTTCATTGAATCATTGGTTTGGTTGTAAGATCCATGTTAGGTTGCTTTACTTATGGTCATTATTTTCATTTGTATTAATTACATTACATAATCTCTGCCTGACATCAACAACAGGGTTTTAGATATTTTAAATAATATTATTCCAGTGAGCTTTCCATTTTCCTTAAAAAGGTATTATACACAAAAAAGAATTTTGTTGGACATGAAGCCATTTATTTACAAAAAAATACAACCTTCATAAATAGGTCACAGATTAACATGACAGAGGAAATTGTTTTAACATTTTTTTTTGTATCTAATTAGGGATCAAAACCTGTGAAATAAATCCTCTCTGCCTCTTCCCTTTCCACTCTCTGTTAAACCTTATCCCATCTCTTCCTGCTCCTCTCATCTTCCTCCTCTTCCTGTCTCGCCATCTCCTCCCCTCCCCTCCTCCCCTCCACCCATTCTTCCCTCTCAGTGGGATCTCCCTGCTGGTGTTGAAGCAGCAGGGCATCACGTCTCTGCAGCTGCAGTCCCTGAGAGAGATCAGCGCTGGGAATGTCCACATCGCAGAGAACAGCCAGCTTTGCTACTACAGCACCGTCAACTGGACCAGGCTGTTCCGTGCTGAAAACCAGAAGGTTTTGATCCGCAACAACCAAAGCCCACAGAAGTGCTGTAAGTTCATACCGAAACCTTCCCAAACATCAAAGAAGTGAACCTGTAGCAAGTGGAGATTCATCAATTTGCTTTGACTTCCTAAAACACATGATTTAACTGCAATGGTGATTCCGCACTGTCTGACGTACAAAGTAGTAGCATGTCTTTAACATGTTGTTCTATTGTAACACACAGCCCACTCTTTCTAATTATTAACTCATCTCGTCCCATCCCTAAAAGACATGCCATCTGTGGTTATTAAAAACACCAACATGACATATCTCATAGTTTACTTTAATCTGGAGGGAAGCTTATATTTAATAATGCAAATGACTCCTGTATCAGACACGTTAGCCTGAGGCTGTAACTGTTGAATATATGTAGATGACAAACACAGGAATCATCACAGTACATTTAGGAAAACATACCTGTTGTTGTGCTCCCAGGATAAAAAAGCCACATTTCCAAGAATGGAGCCACTGTGACTTGTCTGACACATAATGTTGTTTACCAGCCCAGTTCGTTTTTTACCCAATGCTGCCTGAAATCTTCACTGATCTCAAATGTTATTTCACCATCCCATTTTTGTCCCTCTGAGTCTTACACTCTAAAACCCTAAAACAGTTGATAAAATGTGAAATCCCTACTCTAATCTGTGATGTATTCTTTTTGTTCTAGTCTTGCTTTTAACATCAGTTGTGAAGCCGCAGGCACCATTGAGAACATTTTTGTGTTTTTTGTTTGACTGTTGTATTGCTTTCTGTTTGAGATGTATGCTTTAGCAGCGGAGTCAGACACTGATGGTTTGACAGAACTTGGGATTGTTAACCTGACTCAAATTCAACTTTAGACAACTCTGACCATTAGATCGATGCTCCAAATCAATGGTTTTGAAGGAAAGTAAAAGCTCCCATTTATGCTAAGGCTCTTTGATATAATGTGTTCTGGTTGAGGAAATCATTGTTCTTTTTATAACTTCACTCTGCTCCTTCAGAATGCAGCATAGGCACTGAACATATAATAGCAGAAACTAACTTGTTATTTCTATTACTTTATGTCTGTCGGAAGAGTGGACACTATCTAACTCATTTCTAAAGACAACTCAATAACAAATATTACGCAATAGGAATAATTCCCAACAGAACCATTCAGAAAAGAAAAATAATTAGCTAAATACGTGTAGTTCTGAAAAAGAATGTGTTTCTAAAACTGGAAGATATTTCATTTTATCACTGCCACAAGTGGTAAGACATTATTCATTTATGTATAGTGTTCATTAATGAGCCAGTATTTGCATTATTGAGTTGGCCCCTTTTCGCGGTTCCCGTGGGCAGTTCCTCAGTGTTGGGCACACACACTCTTTCTCTTCAGTGACTTTGAAGACTTGGGCGAGACTCAAGAGTCACACACTGCTCTCCTTGACATGGCTCTGCATGTGTGCATCAGGGTGGTTGTGTGTGTGTGTGTGTGTGTGTGTGTGTGTGTGTGTGTGTGTGTGTGTGTGTGTGTGTGTGTGTGTGTGTGTGTGTTTGTGTATGTGTAAACTTGACTGAGCTTAGCAGGGGATTCGAAAAGGGCAGGTCTCACACCCTTATGGGGCAGAGACAGAGGAGAAGACTGCCTGTGGCCATTTATTCAGTGTATGTCGATGTGATGTAGAATTATTTAGGTAAATGGAGAGACCTGAAAACAGGGATAACAGTTGAATACAGTTGTACTTTCTATATGCTAATTCTATGTGCTATTGCGTTAAGAATAGTTTCATGTATTTCATATATAATCATACAAAAAGTTGCAATCATTAAGATGTCAGTCCGGTTTGATTTTGCACAACACCCTATTTGCAGCTGGTAAGAGAAAAATAAAATATTTCTGCCTTTTTTGCACAAAGTTGAAATGTAAATTAAGTTTGAATATTTATACAAAAAACAAGTTACAATATTTCAGGAAAAGAATCCACCTGCTTCAGATTATCTAATGGACACATAATCCAGATTTTAATAAAATGGGTGTGCGTTGCAGTGCTAAGCACAACTTCGGAAAACTCTTCTGATCAGGCATACATTTCTCCTTAAGGTGGCTTAATTAAACTTTGTACTTTTGATAAACTGCATAATGACACCCAGCAGTTGCATAGCCTCTTGACAGGCACATCCAAATAATGTTAGGCTTCCATATGCAGAACTACGCTACTTAATTTAATCAGGATTACAAAACTGTTCACTTGGTGTGATAGCCTCATGCATCCAGCGAGAGGTCATCTGAAAATAATCCGAGGTTGAAGAGGTTTCAACACTCTTCCAAAAGTTTCATCAGCTTGAGTTGATAGTTTAGTTTAATTGATATTTGTTGTCAAATAAGTTAAATATTTGCTCACCCAACAAGACCAAACACGTCTGGCTGTAGACTTATAAACTAGAGTTGAGTAATTCTGCTGACAGCTTTGGATCTGAAAATTATTCTGATTCTGTTTTGACAGGGCGCTCTCCTTAAGTCTGCCTGCTTTAAATAAAAATCACCCTGTTTTTGAAATGATCTTCACTGATCATTTAGCATAATTTGCAACTTTAAAGGTCGTGGAAAGTGAACTAAAAGGTTTTTGGCTGAAAAAATACTTTTTTTGTCAAGCTTAACGTTTTATCAGTAGAACCAATAGTGTTATTGAGTAAATGTATGGTTTGGACCTGCAAATAAGACACTCACCTTTATTTGTATTGTCTCAAAGGATGCATATTACATATTCATAAAAAAGCCACATGGATGATTTGGTTTATCTGTGTTCAGACTTCTCTTAAGTTACATCTCCCTTCCTCTCCTTTATATACACATGTTTTGGGGTAGGACAAGTTACACCTTTGTCCTTAGTTGCTTCAAACTTAGCAGAGGTCTAATCACAACAAGTGGCATAACAGCATTTACTCTTATGTAGACCATTTCTCAGGAGGAGCGCTTTAAGCAAGCAGGACACAAAGTCCTCTTGAAGTAGATTGTAGCCATGGTTATTTTTATCAGCAACACCTGCGCTTTTACTACAGTGAGTATTCGGAATGTTTTTTGTAGAACAGGCCAATTGGAAGCAGACTGGTGCTCTATAAAACAAACGATCTTAGCTTAGAGCAACACTGAGGTAAATGATCAGTGAGCATACTGCAGCTGATGAAAACCAATGTAGTTCACTTTCAAAATAAAAGGTGTGATCACATGAGCACATTTTGGCAACATGCTCTAGCAGGGATTGTATCCATTGCATCCCTTAGGTGAACGATTGTAATGGTCACTCCATACATTTCACTGTATGTATAAAATATCCTACTGCAAAAGTGTTATCAAAATATCAAGTATACAGGAGGCGCAATCATGCAGTTTCGTAATTTTATGCAAAATGTAGTTGAAGAAACCTACCATTTTAATGTATACCATGTAGTTCAAAACACTCCCAACTGCATGTTGCATAGGATCAAGGATAATTTCCAAGGTAGCATACACTCTTTAGTGAGAGCGAGATACTTCATCATCATCATATCATGTTATCCAGTTGTCTCCCCTGAGACTTAAAGGCACCTGACAGCACAAGCCTCATGGGCTGTTGTTTTCCAACCATGTCAGCAACATCTGAAGTTGGTATTCTTTTGATCTTGCAGCTGCTGTTTCCTAAAAAAGCCATCCAACGCTTCCTCTTCCCTTGTTTATTCACTTTTTTACATCACCCATCTCCTCTTCTTTCTTCTGCCTGGTCAGTTTACCTAGAGTGCTGGAGGCTGAGGTGTTTTCTTTTTCTCTTGTTCAAGGCAACGCTTTCATCTTCTGCTCTCTAAGAAACACTTTTTTCTCCATGTCTCTGAATCTTTTTGTCTCCCTTTTTTTTAATTATTCTAAACATGGATATTGCTGACTCTGAGGCATGGCCCCTTGCTCACATGTGTCCAGGACCTTGAAAACAGCTTTTTTTTTATCCATCTATTCAAAGATGAAGAGGAGAGGAGAGGAAAGGAGAGGAGAAGAGAAGAGAGGATGTTTTTAAAATCCCGACAAGTGGGAAATAATGTGAGACGTAGATGGGATGGTAAAAGTTCTGAGTGTATGTGCAGTGCTGTCACCACGTTACTTGAACACTCATGTTGTCACTGTAATGCTCTCAGATGTAGCAACCTTTGTGGAAACGGAGCTGAACGGGTGAGAGAGAGAAAGGGAGAGGCCTGTTGTAATGGAGTCTGTTGGAACTATATGAGAAACTGTGAGGCAGAAACAGCGAGAGCAGCATAGGATGTTCGCTGTGAGTGGGCACTTTTAATGCTTGTCTTTTTGTAAATCAAAAGTGTTGATTTTTGTTAAAACTTCACATGACTTTGCAACAAGTTATTTGTTCTCTACTGTATATGTGGTGCTATGGATTTGGTTGTTGAAAGCAGATACTGATGTTATTGGACTAATCAAATAGCATTTCGAATATTCAATATATTCAAGCCTTTTGACAACAACAAAAAAGAGTAAGAGCTGATATGGCTGTTTTTTTAAATTAAAGCCTTTAAATGAGGTTATAAATTGATTTTCAGCTTCCTTTCTATAAGTCCAAGTTAAATAAAAATGTCTGCATGGCAGCTGCAGGTGCTTGCTATTTTCCAATAGTGCTTTGTCACTGTTAACTTAGCATTTTTATAATGAAGTGTACTTCATGACTATCTGCCATATCTCACAGTCCTTCACACACACTATGCATAGGTTCAACACAGAATATACAGTTTGCTCACATTGGACAGCCATCAAAGTCCATAGACTGAACAGAGATCATTAATGTTTTAAAAAGTGTAACTGTTTCGGCGATCAAATGAGAGCATTTTGTTTCAGGAACTTGGTCTTCTTTAAGTTCATCCATGAGGGTAATTATTTGGGACAGCTGGATACATATCGTTTGACACTTTTTTATTCACTGCATAAAAAAAGCAGTGTCGCTGAGCCCTACACCTATTACTCCATCTTTCTGCAATTATCCCTGCCATTGTTAAGGAAAGTCGTACCCAGAAAAACACACCTTTTATAGACAACCGCAAATTAGGAGCTGCTCTCTAGAGGCAGAGATATTTAATGTGAAAATAAACCCTCGCAAATTGCATGCTTTATTTCATCTAGCCCTGTTCCTCTTCATAAATAATGTGACTATTTTGGATGATTTTATATCTGGCTAATTGGAGCCAAATTGGGGTTTACTCTCTGCATCTGCACCGAGTCAGCAATGCACAACTGCTTCTACATGGATGTAATTTCTTTGTGTTTACACTGGTTTCTTTGTGCTTATGTGTGCATTGAGCAGCTAAGGAGCGCATGGTGTGTAACCCGCTGTGTTCTGACGCCGGCTGTTGGGGTCCTGGCCCAGATCAGTGCCTCGCCTGCAGATTCTTCAGCCGTGGACGAACCTGTGTGAAAAACTGCAACCTTTATGAAGGGTGAGTTACAGTGTGCATATACACGTACACCCCTTATTGTTATATTAAAGTGTATGTTCTTGTGTTTGTCCTCAAGTACAAGTAACATGTTAGGTTCACCCACACAAATGCTTAATGCAACCTTCATCTTGTGTATTACGTCATCTTAGTGATACTCACAAAATAAAGCACACCACACTGCAAGCTTTCATTGTGCTTTTTCTGCAATTGTTCAAACTGAATTACAAAAGTTGTTCTTCTCTGTGGTGACAGAATTGCCAAGTTTGTCAGTGCACAGTCTGGTTTATTTCAGGTCTGTCTGACTACTGTGCAATTAAAAAAAACGTCAGCTCACCTTGGATTGATACAAGCAGACGTACCTTTCAGTAAACACTTTTAGAGACTCAATATGAGTAGCTGTAATATCACTCCAACTCTCCACATAACACCATAGGTCAATTAAAAAATAAATAACCTTATAGATCAACATGTCCACCGCCTTTCCTCACTGTCCCTCTGCAACACAATGTATTTTCAATTACAAACCTTGCAGTTGTTGCAAAATGAAGTAAAGTGTATTTTGCAACCAGTGAGTGATGGACGTGGTTGGAGCAAACTGTGTGTACTTCATCTCACCCAGAAAATGTAGCATTGTGTCACTGCCAAGAGGAAATCTAATCGACTTTTGCTGCAAGAAAACCCAATCAAACATGTACTTTTCAGCTCAGAAACTCACTGCGAGTCAAGAAAACATTTAGTTTAAGTGCTTTTTGGTTATAATCAGCACACTGAGGCAGGTGGGTCTTGGATTGAAGTGTTGCTGGTTCATTGTCTGTGATGGAGGAAGCAGTATAAATTTGGCTTTTATCAAATTACCTTTCAGTGCACTAACAAATCTTTTATTTTTTCCTTGAATTAAGTAACCACATATATTAAGTGCTGATCACTTACCGTAATCCTCAGATGAAATCACTTAAAAGGCAGCTTTTTTGAAAATCTAACAAAGGGCTTTACAATGGATAGTCTTAAATATTAATTCTGAATTGTATGCTGATCTTTAACAGAAAAAGGTTCATGGCTCTGTGCTGCAAATGTTTTACAGTCAAATCAATTGAAATGTTGATCAAAAGTTTAAATGGTATCTAGTTATAGAAAAAATCTGCTTGAATAGACTATTTTAGATGAAATGTTTTTTTACACGTCATTAAGACATAAGATCTAAAGTGATAAGCAAACACTATACTATAGGTCGTTCCAGTTTCCCTAGTTTGATAGATAATGCTTTCTGGTCTTAGTTGTCTGGTCAAGGACACTTTTTTAAACATGCTTAACTCCACATAATTACCTAAGAATAGGAGTGGTGGAATTTTCCAATAATTCTGATTTGTTAAAAAAAACCTGCTGCACTACATCAAAACTTAAATTCCGGTTCAAAAACACCCCTAGGCTCTTTGTTTCAGCTTTCAAATCCTGCAGTAATTTTTCTGTTTACCATGGATAATATTTAAGAGCCGCGGGGTGAAAGGAACAAATTAAAGAAGTGTTGGTGATTCTTGGTTTAAAAGGCACCCCTGTAGAGATTCAAAACAATAGGGGGCCCTTGACTATAAAAGGAACTTTATCTTGATGTAATCCTTTTCTAAAAAAAATGCAATGACTGGATCTGCTACCTGGAGAGTTTCATTAATAGCAGAATAGTCCCTGCAGAACTGCTGGAACTAGATGTTTTTAAGTCTGTATTTGATCAAATGCTAATGGTGGCCACAGTGGAGAGGAATGAGGAGGACCAAAAGGGGCTGTTAGGGCAGGGGGGCTAGGCGTGTCACTGCGTGTCACAGTCACTGCTTGCGCACGGGGCCACGCCCTGCCTACCTGTCCACCTGCACGTCAGCACCCCCCACACCGCCAGAGTAACCGATACAACCTGTACCTCATCTGTCCAATATAAAGCTTCACTGAATGAAAACATTATCACATGTGTGTCATAAGTCAAGCTTTCAACTCAAGTCATATTTCATCGCTGTGTGTGCCTTATTTTTTTGTCAAAATCTATCGCTGGTTTAATCAAAATGTTATGTTGCCCAATAGTTCAAGTTCGCCTTTATTCCCATGTGGATTGGTTTGGCAGTAAAAGTGTGGCAAATGATTAGCAAGGAGAATAAAGGTACTTGAGTTTAATAATTGTCGAGTACTAAAAACACAAGGAAGCCCCTTTATTCATTTAGTGAATTAAAGGTTAATATTGTCCTAATTCAACCTTAGTGGTTTATTTAAAATGTTTTTGCACAACATTTTCAGCGAGCAAAAAAGCATCAAGGAGCTTGCATTCCCTTAGACCTCAAACAATATGGATTTTACTGTTCAAAATGCCAGACATATTGTTTTTCTTAGTTTGTGTGAACAAAGCCATTTGAAATGCAATGTTGTTTTTTTGTATGAAATCCATAAAATGCTATATTATTAAAGTTAGGGTAGGTAAGAATGGAGAAACCAGCTCGAGTGTGCTAGAATTTGAAATTACGCAGCCGAAAAAAATCTGCCCCTTCCTTCAGACTTCCTTACAGAGCCCCTCGTCCAACACACACAAACGTGCACATGACCACGATATAAGTTTGTGCACAGATGGAAGGCTGACAGGCAGGTAGGCCATCCAGTTATTTTAGCCGGGCCGGCTAAAATGATTGGTCGTGCTTTTTACAGCACCACGGCTTCCACAGATGAAATGTTTTAATGTATTTATTGTCAAAGCATTAAATATATTGATTGCTATCGGGATGTTAAGAAGATTCCATGGAATATAACAAAAAGTGTTTCTGAAGTGAATTACCTACCCCACCTTTAACTACAAATGTGATGCTGTATTTGTGTGCCTTAACAGAAGCAGAAAAGCAGAAGACAGGAGAAAATCATGGAATAGCGTATGAGTATTAAGTGTCAGTGATAACATCCAGCTACACTGCAGCCTTTATTATTTCAACCGGCACAGACCCAGACAAAGGCTCACCTCTCCGGCCTCCTGGAAGGTTTTATGAAGGTCACATGAAGCATAATTAATACTAATTTGTTTTAGATCCCACTGCACCAATGGCAAAAAAATTGAACACTCTGTTTTCCGTCATTGACCAAAAAATAAGTACCCAAACGTCATTCTCCTTGTCCTGTTGCCATCTCAGCCATACTGTGGTCAGATGTAATGACTTTTGGAGCAGACTCTGGTGTTTTACAATTATAATGGGATTTCATAAATTGAATAACAAGGCACTTAATTTAATTGATTTTTGAAAGCCCTTACATGTACTGCACCTATCAACTGCATTGACCCCCAGCCTGATGGTATCACTGTTACAGTTAGCTAATTAGCTACAATTCTGGATGCATCAGGGATGTATGTGTGTGCGAGACTGCCTTTAATGACCACATTTGCTAACCTTTAATTATAAGGTAAACATTGTGAGATATGATGCTCACACAACAGATGGAAACAGACACGTCTAATCATTTTTGAATAATTCTTCTTTCCCTCTCAATCCATCCATCCGTCTTCTTTGCTCTAGAAATGACATCCTGAACTTCATTTAGTTCTTATTTATTTACAAAGAAAGCTCTTAAAAGAGAGCACTCTGGGAAATAAAAAAATGTACTGACATTGATTTGTTCTGTCTTTTGCAGAAGTTGTCCAGGAGGCGATTCCACTAAATATGCAGACTATATAACACAAATATTGTGATTCAGTCAAAATATAACTAAATGTAGGCCTACTTGTTTTTCGTTCTGCGCTGCATTGCATTTAGATTATTTTCAACCACCCTTCACTTTTACTGTAGTATATTCTGCTATATCTTCTGAGGACACAAAGCCTTGTTATTGTTCTATTTCACAAATCATTTATTGTCCCTCCCCTATATCACTCTATTTCTCACCCTCCTAATCCCTCCCTCCTTACCTGTCTTCCTGTCTCTCAGGGATATCCGAGAGTATGCCAACGGGTCAGTGTGTGTGGAGTGTGACGCCCAGTGTGAGCAAGCTGACGATGACTCTTTGACCTGCAACGGTCCGGTAAGTTTGCTCCTTTAGACCCTAAAAGTAAGGCAGATACCGACACAGTATTGTATCTCATGTGTGACAGTAGTTGTTGGAGCAGTTGGTTTGGGTTTGTTTTTATCTGTTAATCAAAGATAAATCATGGAACTATTCCTTTTTTTAAAGATAACCTGCAGTCTCATCTTTGTCAAAGCTAAAAGCCATGAGCCAACGTAAATATAAGTTATAATGTGACAGCAAAAAGTTAATACGAGGTTAACATTTTTGTCAGACAAGATGGCTATGTATATCCTGTATTTTTCTAAATGTCAACGCATGCCATAAAAAGAGCAAAACCATCAATACATTGAACTAACTAAAAGCCGAATCAGCTGAATGGGCTAAACTGTTGTTTTCAGTGTTGATCCTCTAAATGAAAACCATTCAAGGCCAGAGCAGTGCTTCACTCACCACAAAGCAAATGACTTGGCGCTGCAGACATTCCCTGTGGTCATCTGAGACTATGATTAATTATTGTATTAGCAGTCAAACTGTGCCTTTCAGCTGTGCTATTGATTATGTCTCATGTTCCGTGTCAAAGGTAAAACTGATTGTTTAAGCTAAGATCAGCATTATTTTGCGGGAATGAATTAAAACATCAACACGTGTGACTCTATATAAATCTGTTTTTATTTTAAAGTTAAATATCAAAAAGGTATTCATGAACAGTCGTTCTTTTTTTTATTCCAAAAGGATGTTTTTTTTTCCCTGACACTTTTTGCACTTCAAAAGCTCTTAGAATATACTGCATGCTCTTTGAAAGATTGTTTGGGCGCAGCTGTACATAAGAACAATTCCAGAGTGGAGAAAAAAAAAATCCCTGACCTTCATCTCTGTCTGCATCTCCTGCACACTACACCCACAGCCACACGAGCCCCCTGACCCCGCGCTTTCTCTTAAAATCGCATCTCTCTGTTTGATAGAGGGATGATTTGCGACAGATGCAAGCCAGAAGGCCGATGTTTTGTCTTCTGTGTCCCATCACACTCTGTCAGATAGTTCAATGAATGCCTAATGCAGTTTAGAAGTTGGTTGATTTCCAAAACAACTTGTGTGTGTGTGAATGAGTGTGAAAACAGAGGAGGCAAAAGCCAAATTAAGTTGTGTGTGCCCGTTGTTGATGTTAGAGGGGATTGATGTTGTGATTATCTATTGCTTATCATTTTATTGATCTATTGATCTATTCATCCACCATCTTTGTTTGTGACTTAAAGAGTGTAAGAGTCACGTTTCTGAATCGGACACTCTGAGTGGATGCAGTCACAGACATTCGGAGTCTGATTCAGAGGGTTGCCTGTCAGTTCCGTTGCCTGTCAGTTCCGTTGCTATGGTTCCGTTGTTAAGTGTACTGAAACAAGAGCTGGTATAATTCCAAAACAATATAAAAATTGGAATACGTTATTTTAGTGTCTTAAAGGTAGACTGAGGTATGAAGGGTTAACGTTACATCTTAGGATAATTTGTAGTCATGTTCTGTATACATACTAACATATAAGGGTATAATTAGTGTGGTTACTCCGTGTTTACGAGCTATAACATTAACGTTACATCACTCTTTTTCACTTCTTACTCAGTCAGCCAGACTGCAGATATCACCATTAGATTCACAAACATCATCCATTTCTTCACTGCTGGAGATGACATTGTTGTCAGCTGCTGATACTGCTGCTGTTGCAGCTTGTGGCGCCTTTTTCAATGAAAATAACTTTCTAATATCCATAACTTTATAGGCTATTAGCTTAAAACTCGTCAGGCACTAGCAGAGTCATATGGCGCTGGGCACTAGGAAGGATCACTTCTTCTTCAGGGCAGGGAAGGCTACGCAGTACGCAGGCTACTGTCCCGCAGCAGCTGCCTCTCTGGTGGACCCCGGCACTGCACATTACTCCCGAGACGTTTAAAAAAAAAAACAATTTTTTTTTTTTTTTAAGTGAAACATCCGGGGCTTTTAGAAAACATCCGGGGCTTGAGCCCACGTAGCCACCCCCTAGCGCCGCCACTGCTCACGAGTGCCTTACGAAGTTGCCGCTCACAAAGTTGCTGCCGGAGCCTGAGAAACTCCACCGGCGGTCATACGATGGCTTAAGATGCCCTCACGAATGGCCCTCTCAGGCTCCGGCAGCAACTTTGTGAGCGGCAACTTCGTAAGGCACTCGNATCACCCAAACGCCTTCTGGTCTCAAATCTGCAGAAACATCTTCTCCATCAACCAACACCAACATGCACCTCATACAATATAAGATTATTCACAGAGGCATAACATCACAGACAACCTCTCTCTTTTGCTGGACTGCCACATCCCCCTTCTTCCATCCCTTTGTTTACTAGGAGACATTTCCAATGTGAACATCAACATTACATCAAGTACTGTCCATAGACCTAATCATTGCAAAAACAACTATCCTCATGAATTGAAAATCACGACACAAAAGCAATATCACAATTTGGAAAAACCTGCTTAAAGAATACATTTCAATGGAAAAATGATCTGCCGGCATAATAAAACAAACCAATGNCTCATAATTATAAGGTTGTGGTCCGTCATATGCATTCGAATATTCATGTTCAACTTCTTCTGTGTCGAAACTAGCATTGGGATCCATGTTTATTAATACGTTACACCGGCCGCTCTCCCCCTTGTGTCCCCCGTGTTACGTCACACGCGGGAGGTCACGTGCCGAGGCTTTTTTTATGTGGAAGTGAACATTTCTTACAAAAACGACGCCAGATGTCACTGTAGTGTATATTTCTGTATATGTTTTTGAAAATCTAGTGTATTCATCATTTTCATACACATTTATTCATAGGTGTCTTTAACCTGGAAGTTGCTCTTTAAACGTTTTGCTGTTAACTTTGGCTTGAATGGATGATTTGAGTTGTAAATATTGATGCTCCCTGATGCCGTACTTCTGGACCAAATCAGAAAATGGAATTAACTTGTGTTCATGAAATATATGTTTGAGGTGTGTGATGCCTTTGGCAATCCATGATTTGAAATGTAAAGGTTTTCTGTTTATTAGAAAGTCAGGATTGTTCCAGATGGGAGTGTGTTCGGTGGGTGAAATTGTATTGTTAGTTAATTTGTTGAGGCTGTCAGAGTTGTGGCTATTGCAGGGTTTTTGAAGCATGGATGACGTATGATGGAGCGGCTTATGAACGGTAAGTCTGTAATATTAATATCTTTGCATAATGTTTGTTCAATGTCTAACCAGGAGGTGTCGGAATTATTAGGATTAGTCCATTTATAAATGTATTGTAGTCTCTGACCAATGAAGTAATGCAGAACGTTTGGTGCTTCTAAGCCACATTGACTCTCATGTTTTTGAATAGTAGATAGTTTGATTCTCTGTGTTTTCTTTTTCCAGTAACATTTTAAGATGGCAGAGTCTATAGATTTGAACCAAGTGGGTGGGCGTTTAATAGGGATCATTGAGAATAGGTAATTTATCATTGGGAGTATAGTCATTTTGACTGTTGCAATTCTGCCTATAACGGATATTGGGAGATTCATCCAACGTTGAAGGTTGTCTTCTATTGTTTTGAGAAGTGGGGTGAAGTTCAGATTTACTAACTCTTTCAGCCTGGGGGAAATGTTGATTCCTAAATAAGTAAAATTACCAGTACGCAGAAAAGAAGGCTGTGTTTGGACTGCCATCACACAGCTATTAGATGAGAGTGGAAGAACGGTTGATTTAGACCAATTAATAGTATAATCGGATAATTCAGAAAGATGAAAACTCAGTTATGGAATTGACCTTTAACGATTATTTAAAAAATGTACTGGCATGGGGGCAACATTTTACAATTGTATCTTTCCCAAATAAATGGCAGGTGTGCTTTGATTCTGACACAAGCAAAATACACAAAGGTCAAACACGTTTGAGTTCAACGCTATTAAACAGCAATACAAACATACAATCTTGATACAGGGTGTATTTTGTACATTTTTGGTGTCTATTTTTGTGTAATGCTCTTTGCTGGTTTGGAGTAGAAAGTAACGATTTCCCAAAACCCAGTGAGTTACACCTCTACTTTTGTATACAGTATTTGAACAGTAACAAGGCAAGACCACCTTATAACAATTCTTAACAAAAACAAGTATTGAAAACATGAAAAAGTTTCCATTTGACAATAGCTGACACATATAAGAAACCATCCATTTTTTATTAAACCAAATATTTCTTCAATTCAATTCCTTGCTCAATATATTCCATTGCTTTAAGCCCACAGATAGTTTGAGTGAGGATCATTGTCTGCCTACCCATCTTGTTAAATGTCAGAGATCTGCCATTATTTCAAGAATGCACTCGGCATTTGAGAGAAAAAGCCCGGTGGCTTTCTTTCATACCACTGACGCTACTTTGATTGTCACAACTTCTTTCATGGTTCTGAGTGAATGCAATGGCATTTTTATAATTAAATGATCTTTCATTCTTTACGCATAGCATCTATTTATTGGGACTAAATGCCAAAGCTTGAGCTTGAATATAACAGATAGGTGTTTTTTTGCAGTTATCATTATTGAGTGACATAGATTGTTTGATGTAATCATATTCTCATAGGGCTTTTGGGCCTAGTTTTTACTAAAATATCAACTTGACACAGAAATACATTATAGGACATAATAAGCATTAATATAATATGGATTTCCATTGCAAAGATTGTTCTTCTTAAATCAAATGTAAAAGACCCAGAACACATGGATACATTTCCACAGTGTAATGCAAACAAATGTGTATTAAAGGTCCCATGTCATGCTTTTCTGGTTATTACCCGTCCCCTTGTGTGTTATGAAGGTTTTTCTGCATGTAAACGGTCTGCAGAGTCAAAAACCCTCAAAGTACACCTTGTAGCGAGTAAAACTCTAACACATACAAGTCTATGCTGTCTATGCTTCCCCTGAACGCATCGTTGGAGATTTCTCTTTTTCCATTTGTTTCTTCCCGGAACCAAAATGGACCAATCCGCGGAGCTCC